AATAAACCTGCATGTTTGTAAAGATGTTATTGTAAAGATGTCATGTTAGTAATTCAAAAAATAGGAAAGGGTGAATAATAATAAGGGGAAAGGGGGGGAAATAAGAGGAGAGTTAAAAGAGGTTAAGACGGGGGATAATATAAAGAGAGTCGCGGTTAGGGGGAGATAGTAGTAGACTTAGGATACTAAGTATAGAAAAAGAAGACAAATGTATTTAAAATTATAGGATAATCACGTAGAAATACCTATAAAGAATGAAATATAAAGGAGTAGGTATAAAAATGTGCCTACATAGAGTGAAACAATCGATCTAAGTTTTGGTACTACAAAGAATGATTTATCTCTAATCATTATAAGAGTTCAGCCTACTAGTTATATTACTACCTTCCTTCCTATGTTTGAAAGGGTTTTGGAGTCGTGAATCCGAGAATGGTGACGAAATGAATAACTAAAGAAAAATATAATTATATTACCTGCCCACGGTGTTGGAACGTTAGGTTGTATACTTATGGATAACCTCACGTGAACCTGGATTCGTTGGACGGAAATCACAATTTAATTAAGATAAATAAATTTAATTAATTAACACTTAACACCTGTGTGCACTCAGATAAAAAATGCTAATTTTTAAATTAGGAAAATAAAAAGTTGAATTACCAAGTGAGTTAATAAATAAATCGAACACGAGTGATTATAGCTGCTAAAAGTCGGAGCTAGCTATTCGAGAGAGATCCTCGAAAGAAGTTGGTGGAGCGTAGTTGTTGCTGTGTGCAGGATTCTCGACAGAGTGTTCGTCTTGGGGTTTCTAGAGGGATCAAGACGCTTCATTTTCAATAGAAAAAACCGTTAAATTTTATATGTTTATATAAACATATAAAAAAAAGGTCAATCATAAAAAAAAGTGTTATGCGTAGATTCGAAATTTGTATTGAAATAATTATTATGGTATATAGTTCGAAAAAATAATGACGGTACGACGGTATCATCAAAGGGCCGATTGATGTTATGTATCTATTGCTTAATTTTATTTGACTTATATTTGAATGTTCTNCTCAAAGGGCCGCAGCAGATGGCACGCAGTTCTGTTATATTTGACACATATTTAAATTATTTTGCTTGTAGATAAGCTTGCATCCCTCTCGAATAGCGAACGATCCGTTAGATTTATTAAATTATTTACCTTTTGTGAAATATCAAGTACTCGGCCATATTTGAATCTTTTAGTTACATTTTTGTAATGATATAAATAATAAATAATTATACAGTTATAATATTATGTTATGTGAGCATAACATTACATGTTCAAATGAATCATAGATAACATAAGAATGGATAGGCCACTCCTATATTAATATAATAAGGGGCCGCGTTCCGAAATGTGAATGAGACCGACTGCTTATACTGCTCCCATTCACATAATGATATTATACAATGATATATATTTCACAATGATAACAACTCAATAAACGTAATTTGTATTTGAATTATTTTTATCAAAACAATTTCAAGTGGTTATTACAATACAATTGTATATTATTATTATCGTATTTTTCACGAAATTATAAAGATTAAAGATAGTATAAAGAAAAATCGTACCAGGGCTAAATTAACGAAACTTATGAACTCAATTAATTCAATTGAGCACCTACTATTATTATACCAAACATTCCTAAACCAGAATTGTAATCTACATATATATATTTATAATTTTTTTTTTTAATAGCGTATTATGTAGGTATATAATTTGAATGTTTTTGTCAAAATATTATTTCATAATAAATAATGATTATATTTGATTATTGATTATAAAGCGCTAATTATGTTTAACTAATTCATACTAAATAAAAGTAAAATGAGTTATGAACTATAGATTATTTTTGATCAAATTTACAACTTTATAGATGCAACCCCTTGTAACCTAAAACTAAAAAAATGTTGGTTCTCTTATGACAAACTCTTATTCATTTTTGTATTATCTATGATATGAATACCCGATTCATATTTATAAACGTGTAAATGACATATTATACGGAAATTTACCATCCACCCATTCCCTGGTAGTGGCACTGATAACACCAAACAACTCGTCGTTGGTAACTGCTTTCGGTTCAATATCGTTGAAATAAGGTTTCAATTTCATATTTGAATAGGCCTTGTACAGTGTTTTCCAGACTTCAGATTTTCCCGTACCAGCCAAACCGATTATAAAAACTGAATGTCGAACTTCTAACAACTCCACTAGTTGTACTACCTGTGCCAACAAAACAATTGGGTTGTATATTTAAATGGCGCATTTTATGACAATAACAATGAAAATGGAGACCTTGAGTATAAAATTGTCTTCAGGTTGGAGTTTCAGGTCAAGCGCAGCTTGGCGGACCGTTTTTTCGAAATCTAAATTACGTTTTCGGGGCACGTCAAGTGCAGGAAACAGATCACCAATTAGTCCCATAAATATACTGGTATCTTCAGTTACGATTTTTGGGGTGTTAAAATCTCTGAGAGCTCTCATTAAAACTTGATCTTCCGGGCGATTTCTATCTGATCGCTAAAATTGAAATTAAATTTGTTACGTTACGGCTGTTTCAAAATACATTGGGTTGTATATTATATGTAGTTCTAGTATAATATAATTATTATAATTTTACATAAATGTTTCAGTTATTTGGAAAAGTTTGACTTTTATTTTAATGTATTTTTTTCTTTAAAATTTAAAAATATATTTATATTGTTGGTTTCACGAAATTTACTTTTATTATAATTTATAATGAACATGTTTACCTTTAATGATCCGGCGACAACCAATAAAGATTTTATAGCTCTTAGACCCCAATCGTAATATTGTTGGTTTCACGAAATTTACTTTTATTATAATTTATAATTTACCTTTAATGATCCGGCGACAACCAATAAAGATTTTATAGCTCTTAGACCCCAATCGTAATGATCTTGCTTTGATAATAATTCTTTGCAAAGGCTATACAAGGTTATGAATTTTCTCGCAAGTATTCTCGCACTCTGAAAACCTTCTGCTATTAAATTGATTTCACAGATCAATTCAAAATCTGGTACCACCATGGCACAAGGTCTGGAGGGAATTCAAATTTTAAAATCTTTCTTTGTTTTAGAAAATTATTAAATACATAATACGAGTAAACATGCAACATACCTGAACAATGCCTTAAGATTTTCAGGAAGTTCTNGTTCTGCTCGTCCCGCGTACCCCGGGTTCATTGTAATGAACATTCCCACTGTAGAAATAAGATTTACTTCGTCCCCAAGTAGCACACACGTTTTTTTCTTTGCTTTTATGGAATCTAATACGCTTTTTACTTGGGTTGCTACTACGGACAATACTTCAACAGTTATCCTATTGAATTCGTCAAAACATCCCCACGCACCGGTTTGGGCGAGGCCTTTGTATATGTTACCGCATGACTGGAAACCAGATATTTATTTTATTTTTATAATAACATGTTATTGATTACAATATTTAACCATTTATTTATTTAATAAAGTTTACATCTTGTGGCTGTTTAATACAGTAATTTAACAAGGATAACATATTACTATGGATAATACAACAATTTTTTAGGTATATATATATATATACATATATACTAGTGAGATTATTAAAAAATATGGATTTCAGATCTAATATTCCAAAAATTATAATTTTAGATTTGATAAAAATGCATATCACATTAAAAGTTTCTTAGTTATAATCACCCTAAAATCCATTTGTTCAGAACAATTGAAAACGTAGACCATCATTCCAATAGCTTTCCCCAAATCTTTGGTCGTCTCAGTTTTTCCGGTA